GGAGTACGTGGTAAACCGCTTTTTTTAAAGGCAGGATCGTCGTCCCACGGATTCCCAGAAATTGTACCTAGACTTCTTGTAAAAGGTCGTTTGCCATCCGACATCAATGATCGAAATTGATAATTTAATTTACTAGATTGCCAGAGAAAAGGAAATTTATATCAAAACTTTTGCCAAATAAATGACAATTACTTTTGAATATAGATTTAGTATTTATTCAATATTATTCATACAACCAAGAAAATTAACAATATTTATGAAGCTTTATTAAAATTTTCATTCATACTAAGCTTATAACGATTAATTGATTTCATAAATTTCTCTTAAAAATTAAAAATTTTTTGCCTTTTTTCCTTGTCAAATTCTAAATCATTTAAACTATAATGTTTTTTTGAAGGGTGTTTCTTTTTAACAACGTGAATCATAGTTTTTTTTTTGGAATTTTAAAACTCGTATAAATATCGGATTGCATAGACCACAAGTCATTGGCATGCTCCCATGTTCACAAACGTTTTTTGCAATAAATGCTCCCTTTTCTTCAAAAGTAAGGGGTAAAGGTGGCAATGGCAATGGGGGCTGCAAAGGTGTAGAACAATTTGAGTGCGGCAATGGCTCTTCTCGCAATACTTTCTTTAAAAGGACAGATGCTGCCCTTTTTTTTTTAATTTTTTTTAATAATTCCAATTTTTTTTTTCTAATTCTTTTCAGTTACAAACAGAGCTTTTTTCTACAGAAAATTGTAGTGTGATTTTTTTTTCTTTGCTTTTTACTAAATATTTTTCACACTACAAAATATTCCAATCAAGTGATTTTTTTCTTCTTCTAAATATTTTTCACTGATAGATATTACAATTAAAAAGACTCTGTAGTTATATTTAATTTTTGAATAATACAATATTCTTTTCTTTTACAACACAAAATAGGATATGATTTATTTCTCTTTTTTTTCTCTCTCAAAAAGATTTTCAAAATTTCAAAGTAAGGCTAGTAACAAAATTCATATAATAAAAAGATTTTATACAGATAGCAAAATTTCTAAAGAGTATTTTTAACCAACAACAATACCCAACGGGGGCCTCCAATGTTACGGCTCACTTTTCGTAAGGTGGGAATTTCTAATCCTTTTCGGGCTGTGATTTCTCACTTTACCCGGGTAAGGAAAGATTGGTGTTGGTTACAAATACCTATTTTCCTTGAATATAAAATCCAGTATTCAATCGCCAATCTTTTCAAAAGGATCAGTGAAAACTTGATTGAAAGATTCCACTCAGACCTATAAAGATTCTAATGATCCAAGTTCTGAGCGTTAAACTAATGTATCAAGTTTATCTAACTCGTTTTTCAACGAGAGGACCGAGCGATACGGAATTGGGAAAAATGAATTGTGAAAGGTGAAGAAATATAAAAAAATTAATATTTGAAATAAAACTTACTTTTTATTTTCCGTAGAGTCTTTTAAAAGATAATTGGAAACTTTGATGATTTTCAAAAAAAGAATCCTTGGACTGCTTGAGAGAGAGTGAATCCTTCGAGCGTAGCACTTCTTGCTGCGGGTGGCGTAGCAGTGGTGAACAGTTCGCGTCTTACTTAACACATTCCCTCAGGATGCGCTCTCTTTCAAAATAAGGCCGCAAGGGGCTCTGTAGGATTTGGACATGAAATCTTCAAAACTGATTGGTGGAAATTTTCCCGCAATAGGGAAACGTACAGTTTCCTTAAGATAGATGGAGTTACTCATGCCAAATCGCGTATAAAAGTACTATTATTTAAAATTTTACTGTGCAAGGATTTCACATACTTAATTATTATCTATTATAAGTCATTAAATATATATATAAATAACAATCTGAGAGTTATATTTAATTCTCAAATGTTATTTATTTACATCTTTAAATACAAAATGGAACTTAAATAAAACGTAGCACAAATTGTAAATCGTACGACTTAATTTTATGTAACTGCACAAACTATTCAATAGAACAAAATAATTTTCCGACTTTTTTTATAACTAAGCTAAACGGAATAATGAAAACTCGGTGGAAAACGCATAAGAGAAGCTTTCTCTTTTTTTCTGCATTCTGTATAGGGCTTGGGCGTTGGCAACTCACACTGTTTGTACAAGGACATCCTAAGCATATGGGCGCACATAACAAAGTTGTAAAATTTTTTATACCTATTTTCTAATCGCAAACTATTTGGTCAGCTTGTCTTCTCTTGGAATTTGAAGAAACCTTGAGAAGAGAAACTCTCCAACGTATTTTCGCTTCTCGAAATTGTGCAGTTTGATGCATTGAAGTCGTAATACAAAAAAATAAAAAAAAATAAAATAAAATGGCACTATTAATTATCCGACGTTACAAGGGTCAAAAAAATTGAAAAATTTTTTTTTGTAAAAAAAATCTGAAAAATTTTCATAGTATTCTACTTGAAAAAACAAACATTTTCTTTCCTAATCATTTTTTTTTGTATTATGAATATTAATGGAGATATGACAAGATGAAACCGTATGTCCATTTTTGGGAAAAATGCCGGTAGGCGTGTGATATTTAAGGACAATAAATATGCAATGCATGATTTGAATAGGTATTGGAAAGAGCTACAAGATGGTGTACTTCAAATTTCTGTGCGACGAGTTTTAAAGATTTGGCGAGCGATCAAAAATGGACACAAAAATTTATAATTTTCAACGTCGAATTATCATTTGAAAAAAAAGTTAAAAAATGTTTGATTGAATTTCTAAATAAGACAATTTAAAAGCTCTTGGAAAGAGCTTTCCAATGACACCTCGCTCGACTCTGTATGTCAATTTTGATAAGAGATACACGATTTTGAAGTATGACTAGTTTTGCTCTTGGAGGGGCAAAAGTACGTGATTGGCAGTGTATTTCCGTTGAGTTTTTCCATATCTGATTTTTCGTCTGCAATTTTCCTCTATTGATTGGACAATAATTTAAATGCAAAAAATGCAGAGTGTGAAATTTATGTAAGAAATAATAAGCTGGATAAAACAAAGAAGGCATTTCGACAACAGAAACATTTGGCATGAGGACTCATGAAGATAACTCATTGAAAAAGCTCTGAAAGAATGCTCACTAAGAGGATCGCTAACCGAAAAGCATTGTTTAGGTTTGCATCAAGGGACAGTGCATGAAATTTTCAGTAAGTCTTACATGCCGTTTATATTTGAAAATTTTTTATATTTTTACCAAATATACCATTATATTGTATATAAATTAAATATATCATATATAAATTAAATATATCAATACTTATACACTAATATATTTAATTTACAGGTTTTGTGGATGAATATGTAACAAAACATCACTGGAAACCATTTAGTGAACAAATAATTGAGAAATCAATGAGTGTGTTTCTACAAGAATGCAGAGAAGTAAAGCTGCTTTAAATTCAATAATCATGCCCTTCTGTTTGTGTTGTAATTATTAATTATTATCGTTATTGATAGCATTAGCACATGTACTCACGTTAAAATATTAATAAAACATTAATTTTACATAAAATCCAATAAAATTACGTTAAAAAATTGTCCAATTAGACACAATATTTTGAAAAAATTATGCAAATTTGTAATTGAATAATTTGTAATTGAATAATTACAAATTATTTTAGAATCTATATTTAAGCAGAACGCTGTTATTTTTATGAATATAATATTTACTTTACTATTTATATATTAGTTCGTATGAATTTCACGCTATTATATTGATGCGTTATTGCCAAATTTACGGCGCATACAGATATACAGAATCATTAAAGAGAAAGATTAATTTTTCATACATTTCGTTTGATTTTCTCTGACACGAAGTTGTTATCTCTATATTTTTAAAAACTCAAAAGAATCCTTATAAAAATATAAAAATAGATATAATTTTGAATTTCTGAGGTTAGTCATTTACTTCCAAAATTATTGTCGTTTTTGTGACATTTTTCATATGATTACGTGTTAATTGGCCATTTTTCAGAAGCGATTTATTCGAAAATGAAGTCGTTAACCCTAGTATTTCTTAATTGCAAATGAATTCGACATACTTTCTCCACATAATCTATAAATTTCAGAAATTTTAATCATTCCAGTAAAAATCTCTAAGCCACCCATTAAAATTAAACATTAAAAACATTAAAAATATGTGAGCTTTACTTTGGGATCTTTTTCAGGGCAAATGTTGCAAGGCTATTTATACCTAAGCCATTTACTTCAGTAACAAAAGCCCTACAAAAGCTTCAAAGCGGTTGTTTTAGAAACTCATTAATAACTGAAATAAACTACAACGCTTCTATATTTCATAACTAGTATTTTATAGTTATATCACTGTTTATTTAAGTTAAAAATGAGGTTCTAAAATATTAATCATAAGTTTTAAAAGTTTTTCTTCACTGAACAAGAGAAGCCTTTGAATTATTATTTTTGTGAGCAAAAATGGACAAGTATATATGAAGTACTTTATATAAATTCGTTATTGATCCTAATATTGCTGGATTATTAGAAGATTTTTCAACATTCTTACATATAAGATGAAATGGATCAGATCAATCTATAAATTAAAAATTATATTAAAATTTGAATTTAACGAACCTTTATATTATTCAAATTGCGCTTTCAAATCTTGCTGTTACGCAGAATCAAAAAATAGAAGTATTGAGATGTCACGCAGCGAGATGTAAGCATCAATATAGTCGAGCACAGACGAATAGAAGTCTTTCGTCTTAAAATCATTTTTCTCCGAAATATAGTCTTTCTAAAAAATTATCGCGCACCGGTGTGGTAGCTTAGTGGTTGAGCAGTGTGGAGCGGCCGCACCGTACAATTGCTCGATACTTGGATCACGGTCATTCATACACACACGCGCACGCATGTACTCACACACATAGACTATGAGGCGAGAAAAAGAGAGGGAGAGAAAAAGAGAGAGAGAGAGAGAAATGGATCGACAGATATACAGACTGACAGAGTGCGGGTAGAGAAATATCATCCGCTGTTAGTGCTCGTGGCCGCAGTCGCGCGTTTAATGCTAACACTCACTGCTTCGGAGATCTAGTGTTGCGGAAACAGATAAGAAAGAAGAGGCAGCCATCAGTCATCAGCCAAGCCACCGGCAGCAAGAAGCAGCGCATAGCGAAAGGATTAAGTTCCAGGTTTAGGTCAATCATTAAATCAGCAAAGATGCAGGCACGTGACATGATCGTCGCGATAGTCGCGTTGTTGACGGTTGCGGCCGGGCCGTCGAGCTTCGTTTCTGCGCTCGCCAGGACCGATCTCTACCCCTACGGAGGACCGACAGTAGCCACGCTCAAAGCCAATTCCGACGGTAGTGTGCAGTCCGAAGAGCTTCAGCTCAAAACTCCCATTAAGCTCTTCGATCACCAATATGCCAACATCTTTGTGAGTCGCATTTGCTATTTACTATCCGTCTTTATTAATAGCGCTTCAGCTTCGACACTCCTAATATTATAAAACTCATTGAGCTTATCCTCATCAGTCGCTGTTCGCATCCAGATTATATCAACTCCTTGTTCCAATTGTCGATCGTTTCACTGCTTGCGTTACCCTTCACTGCATCTACGTAAACTCATAAGCATTTATCGTGAGAACGATAACAGTCAGAGGCGCATATTTGTATCATCTCAATTCGTTCATTGCCCTGTTTCGCTTACTTCCATTCTTACGAAATAATATTATTCAGCTGCGTGTGTACAAATGCGTATTCCCCTCTCCATCATCTAATCTAATGAAAACTATACTTGTTGCTGCTCAACCCGCTATCTCACAAGCATATGTTCTAATTTATCTTATTCTAATGAATCTAGTCCACTATAACGACTACACAGTAAATTTGTGCCTTTTGGAAACAATACTTCCGTTATACTTTTCTTGCTAACTCATTGATATATGCTCCTTTGCATTACAAATTAATGCAAACAACGTACCTTCTCCATTTATCGTTGCGCTATTTTCATTAGACCAAGTGGAACAGTGGAATCCTTTGGACTATAGTTTTTGACTGAATAACTTTATTCACAGATGTATAATATACGCATGGAATAAATGTTATACAGTATATTTTCGTATGAAAGATATTATGATAAAATATCACGACAAATAATTGTTATTGATATAACAAATCTTAAAAGCGTGAAGCGCTAATTGATATGCACTTGATTGCATTAACAAATTATTATTTGATTGACAAAAAAAGCGCTATTTGAATATTATTCGAGTACCATGAATTTAATTTTGTTAATGTTAGAAGTTCAGTTGGAAATTCAAAAAATATAGCTATTTATGCGTTGTTTCATTCTGAACTACCAAATAAGTAACAACACGTATCATAGCTGTGAAATTCACAATTCATAAAGAAAACATTTATCAGTAAATACAGTATGAATGTACTATCATGGGAGCATATATGAAATATTTTCTGCATTGATTAGATGGTTGTGGACGTTAGCTAACTTTGTTAATTTCGTGTACAATTTTAAGCTCTTCTCTACATTAATTTTATTTTACATGTCCATTAAATATTTTTCAGTCCAGTTGTAGACTGTAGACCATTCACCAAGTGTGTGCATATATTCACGTTTTCAGAGAATAAATAGAATGTACTTGAATGATCAATAGAGCGGTTTTTTGTCTTCATATTAGGCAACTAATTGCATAAATAATGAAATAATCAATAATAAATGGAAATCCCGAATTAGAAAGTTATACTATTTTACTGATCGCTAAGATATTTTCTTGCTAAATTAATTGCTAAAAAATTATATGGAACATTGCCTTGTCCAAATAAATGACCGTTCATATACATCTACTAAGAAGAGAAAAACATCTTTCGAAAACAAATAATCGCTTCTTATCGTTTATGGTTACATAATGGATTCAACGATAACAAAAATATATCAAGGCTACTTGAAACACTAAATACAAGGTAATTGGAATCAATATGGAGTAAAACACTGAGAGTTTCACAGATTTTGAGAAATCAGCCAATGTTAAACTGTATGTGTAATCTTCCATCTACTTTTACGCACCCTATGCAAAAATTACGAGAATTAAAAAATTTTAATGCTCAACAGTAAAATGTCGTAATTCAAAAAATGCAACAGCATTTGAAAAAGCAGGTGAAAATTTTCAAAAAAATGCTACAGCGAAATTAAACAAATTTAAATTTGAGTTTATTATAGGTATTAGAGATGAAAAAGTATAACAAATTTTATCTCATTTTGAACAACTACTAATTTAGTTTCCGTAATGATAACTTAAAAAAACAACAGGATTTGAAAAATAATTGCTGTAGCTTTAAAATGAGGATTCGCACGTTTTTTAAAACCATTTGTTAGAAAGCTAAAGTATTTAAAAAAAAAATATTTTTTTTGAACGTATATATTTAAAAAAAAATAAGATAGAGAAAATGTCAACCAAAAAAAGATGCGCTTTTACTTATAGAACCTAGAATTGTAGGCTGTGATACGTCAACTATTATACATTTGAAATATGGTCAATTAATTTCTCAATTTGAGCTCTTATTGATACCATTGGGTCGCGTTATCATAAATGAGAGTTAAAATTGTATATGACCAGATTTTATGTATTCATGTAAAATATTGAAATCATAATATCGAGCTGAGCAATGTATAATCATAATAAACTTTGCTATAGGTGCAAACTATCAATAGAACGTTCTCTTTGTTGTTATTCCAAATAGATGAAGATCTGCTATCGCAAGACGTATAATCACGAACAATAATAACACCATGAGGGAAATGGCCTCGATACCATCGTATTAAGGAGGTTCGTGACAGTCACCAGGGGGGTTGGGGTAAGGGGAAAATGCCTATGCTTTAACATAGGATGAAATCAGTGGCGCAAACTGTAGATAACTGAATTCAATGTTCTGTATTATTGTACTTAGATGAGTATGAACTGGTAAAAATGATGAGAATTGAACATTCATCACGAGTATCTACTTCTAATATGCGTTAGTCGTCAATTTTTATGTTTTTATTTGAATTATGAAAGTATGAATTGGAGGTAACGATCTGGCAACATAGCATACTTCGAAATTTATTTTTCTTAAGTTGTCATCAACGAATCTGCTGGAAGGATGCAACAACGGAAAGCAAACTGTCATAAAATCTAAAAAAATACTTCAGAATATTTTGAATTTTTTAAAAACTCAAGTTTGATTACAATTTATACGTCGAATTCACAGTATTTATTTAAATTATTTGCATGCCAAAGATTAATGTACATTATTTATTGGTTATTTGAAACGACAATAAAGCGTTTTCAATAAAATATTTATTCCATTAATATATTTTCAATTCAACTTAAATTAATAAAAAAAATCATAATGTTGAATAAGTTTCGTCTAAATCATTTTTTATTAATTCAATTTCAATTCATAATAAATATAATCGTATCTGCTCTGCAATACCGGCTACAGTAAATATATCGATATAGTGTATGCGATGTTGCCGCACTTCATTAGTTAGCACCGTGAGCTTGGATTAAACTAGAAAATTTTTATACTAAAATTACTATTATTTAATCGGAATCACGGTAAGCCATGAGTTTAAACACATAAAAACAATCATCGATTAATTCTCTTTCAAACCGTCTTTGCAAATTAAAAATCTGTGCTTTTTTCATCAAGTTATTCCCATATAAGATGAAGTCAATTTACTCATTTACACGAGAAGTCTATTTAAAACAATGCTAATTATACGCATTAATTTCTCCAAAACTACGCGGTCAAAAATTTTGAAAAAAATCAGACATCAATGTTACGTCATACTCTACCATAGTTTTCAATTTCATGAAAATCTGTGCATTTTCATGACACTCCTGAACCTCCTTAAGAGTTTCGTATCAATCTTTATAGTTAGCATTTATGAAGTAATACTAGAAATTATTTTAGTTTTAATAGATTATAATTATTTTAATTTATTTAAATTTATATATTATAACAATTGGTATACATAATAAATAAATTAATTCTTAGTTTTCTATTTATCACATTTTCTATTATTATCATAAAATATTTAAATAACCGGGAAATTGACTAACTACTCATTATTTTTATGACAACTTTAATTAATTTTTTAGAATAGTTATAAACAAACAAGGAAAGTTTCTTCAAGAGTTATATCAGTTGAATAACACCAACAAATTAACCACATTATCAACAAGTAGTAAATAAAAAATACTTTTACTATTCGAAAATAGAAAACTTTTGTTATTCGAAATATAATTTATGATTCAAATAAATAACATAAATTATACACTATTTACACCATTTCTTAACCTTTTCTCTGGTATTCTTTAGATTTTATAATAGCTCGACAAAGATTCGGTATTCTTTTTACCAATTTATTTGAAGTTTTACTTTCAAATTTTTTCCACTGTTCTTACAAAACGGTCTATAAATTTGATACGACGTGGGGTGTATTATTCTAATCAAACGATCAAGCTCTTCTTAACCCATTAACGTCCAAAATGTTAAAATTTCTTGCACGTTTTCAAAGTGATTTTTTCCTATGTAATTGGCGTTGAAAAAATTCTTGAACCACATATTCTGATGTAAAATTGCATGCTCTTTCAGAATCCGTTGCCAGAATCATGATAAAACTCACAGGAAAAGAGATATGCTCGATTGAAACATAAAAAACACCTAAATTTTCGAAAAAAAAAATTTTTAGGATTTTTTTTCGAAGTGTTACGGTGAAGATATCACCTTGCGACCGTGATCAAAGGTGATCATGGGATTTGAAGTTTAACAGGGAATTTTTTTGTTTACCTTGAACAATCGCTTCTTTACAAAATGGCGGAAAAAACGAATTTTTTTTTTTTCAATCTTCATCAACTTTTTTCTCAAAATCTATGGTCTTTAGAAAAAAATTCATAAAAACAAAAATGCCTTAGAATCGCTCGAGGAACATTCTCAAATTTTTTCAGAATTTTTTGAGACAATTTTTGATTTTCCGGGAAACTTGGGAAATGGAATTTTCAAAAATGTCTCCAAAAATTCTGAAAAAATTTTAGGATGTTTCTCGAGTGATTCTAAGACATTTTTGTTCTTATGAATTTTTTTCTAAAGTCCATAGATTTTGAGAAAAAAATTGATAAAGTGAACATAGCGGCCGAAACGAATTTTTATTTTTTCAACTTTATCAATTTTTTTCTCGAAATCTATGGACTTTAGAAAAAAATTCATAAGAACAAAAATGTCTTAGAATCACTCGAGAAATATCCTAAAATTTTTTCAGAATTTTTGGAGACATTTTTGAAAATTCCATTTCCCAAGTTTCCCGGAAAATCAAAAATTGTCTCAAAAAATTCTGAAAAAATTTGAGAATGTTCCTCGAGCGATTCTAAGGCATTTT